CTCTCTTTCTCTCTCTCTCTCTCTGTCTATCTATCTATATATCTATCTATCTACCTATCTATCTATCTATCTCTCTCTCTCTCTCTCTCTCTATCTATCTATCTATCTATCTATGTCCGATTTTTTGCTCTCCTTGTTTCTATCTCTCTATTATTTTCTGCCTCATTGTTGCTTCGGTCTATTTCTTTTTACTCTATCCCCCCCCCCCTTTCCCCATATTCCTTTACAGACGCCTTTCTCTATACCAGTTTAAGTACGTTTAAAAAAAAGACAACCTGACGTACGTTGTTGGACATAGTATTAGAAAGTGATACAGGCCGACTTAGTAGAGAAAATGACCCCCAAAATGCTTGGCTTACCACAAAGAATAGTATGGTTCTCCAACATTTGTTCTCTTACGATTTCATCCCGCTCTTAGACAGTGGTAACTAATTTGTAGGGCTTTATACTCTTAAAAGTAATAAAGGAGCTGAGTGATTTAGGTGGACAAGGAGATGATGGCTTTAAAGGACTTTGTATCGTTTGCTTATGCGTTTAAGAATATGACTATCTTTAGTGAACACACCCGATCTAACAGACGGAAGAAGTTGGGTAAGAGTACTGCTCTTAAACCGTGGGTGGTTGGCGAGTGCTCTGTTGTTGTTTGTTCTTCTTTCCTATCAAACATCTATCGTCCTTATCTCCCCTCTTTCTTTTTTTATGTTTGTTACTCACTTGTACCACCTCAAATCATCTGGCGCTCATATGACCTTATGCAGTTGCGAGCACGGTAAAATCTCTACTAAAACAAAACAAGCTCTTTAACCCGTTACTACTTTCTCTTCCAGGGCATGATCTACGTACACAGCACCGCTGTCCTTACCCATGGTAACTTCAAGTCTTCCAACTGCTTGGTGGACAGTCGTTGGGTGGTCAAGCTTTCAGATTTTGGACTTAACAAGTTCAAGGCCAAACAAGAAATCCCTTACCACGGAGAACATGCCAATTATAAACGTAAGTCACACGTGTATAAGCATACTATCACAACGTAAAGTAGTACTGAAGCTTGGTTCCGAGGACTTTATTGTTGGATTTTATTTTAGACTAGTGCACTTTTCAGTGAAGTTTGAAGACAATTTGCTTTTTATTTTTAATGCATTTTTTAAAAGATGAAAAACGTAAGCGACAACAACGACGACGACGACGACGACGACGACGACGACGA